GATATGTCAGCGTCGACGTTTATTAAGAATTAAAGGGAAAGTAACTTCAAGGAGAAGTGTACGTAATGAATTTTAAAAGAATTTTTCTACTATTTTATATTAGGTATAGAGATTAACCCTTTGCACTCGAGGCCTTTTCTTTGTTATCTAACTGCAACTCGAGAGGCTTTCGTAGCATTCTACATTCTACATTCTGTATTGCCACGAATGTTAAGCTTCGATTGACTTCGAAGATGTTATTTCATTGACACTTCTAGTTCCAAAGAAATTAAACCTAAAGAAACATTATTGCTGGTAGATTTGCTACATGAAACCTAGTGGTGACTGAGACTCAGTTTTCAAGTGCAAACAGTTAATTCTGTCTCTTTCTGAGGTTACTTAATATTTATTTAAAAGGGAGGACTATACAACTTTGAATCTATTCTAAGTCACACATTCCAAGGAGCAAGGAGCAAGTAGTAAGTAATAAAATAGCTAGTTTGGCTGCCGCATAACAGGGACATCCTTGCGCCTACGTGATGGCAACCAATCACTTAATTTTAATAATCTGCTTCATTAAGTATAGAGGGTACGAATCCTTATGAGACTGTATATAAAAAGTTATTAAGAACAAATAATATATTTTCACTGGAAGCTCTCGAAGATAAATTCACATTTTCATTCTCAATTTTTCCACCCTGCGATTGGACGGAGAAGGCAGCGTGTCTCCAGCGAACAACCGTCAGATGCAGGAACCGTGAAACTTTCGGATCGCTTTGGAATCGCAATCTCCAAGGCTCGCGGCCCTCCCACCGTTTAAAATCGATCGTATTCGTATTTATGAAGACCGCGATACGTCGAGGAAGGCGTTCGCAATTTTATAGCCAACGTTTATGCATCCCCCGTGAATCTTTCCTGTATCTGCAACGCGCTGGAAGACGAGACCATTCCAGCGCTAAGGTTATGGTAAACCGTGCACGACAAATAATATTCTCCTCCCTAGAACTCATAATTCTCCTTCGTGTTACGCTACATTTAACCATCGACTGCTCGTCGTGATGCATTATCGAAAAACACCATCCTCGAGACCCCAAAAAATCGTTATTTTTGTATTTTCTAACATTTTAGCGTGTAGAGTAAATTTCAAATGCTCCTCATCATTAATTTAGGTATAATAGTTCCGAGTAGACTAGTACAAGGTGGTTTATATTTTCTATATGAATGAATATTTTTTTTGAAAAATTAGTAATGATATTATTTTAAGTACGTAATTTATATCGAAGCATTCAGTGTTGACAAATATTATTTTTAGATATATTATTCAAAGTGTATCCTGACAATATTTATTAATAATAATTGTACAAGGTACCGATTTTATATACTATACAGAATATTTCTGACAAATTTTTAAATTTTCTGAAGTCGGACTAGTTACAGACATAAATGTATCCTTCCTTAAATTATATCTTCCTTAAATGAGAGAATAAAGAGAAATCAGAGATCCAATAAAGCATTCGTTCAACTATCCCAACGAAATCAGGTGTCGTATATCCGTCGAGATTATTTTGTACGTCGAACGAGCAGAAAAAAATTCAATATCCCCGGTAAACTACCCCCCCCCCTCCTCCTCCTCAACGACAGTACAATGGAATCGTTCTCGGGTCGTTTCACCTTCGTTTCCTCTCCTTTTGACGCCGTAAAAATCAAAATTTAATAACGCTTGGTAAGAGGAAATCAACTGTAATCTCGAGAACTGCCGACGAGCGTCGATCCTCGTGATGCATGAACGCTTTTGTTCGTTGCACATCGTATGACACCGATTTTAAATTTCATAAGAGCGATCGTTTTCTTGCTGGTCGAGAAAAATGACTTTCGAGAAGCCATGTTTAAATTTCATTTCATGAAGAAAAACTAATATATGAAATTCTTCTTGGGAGTCTAACAAATTTATTAATATCTTAAATAATATTATAAAAAATTTATAATAATGACAACAATTTTTTATATTTGTAACTGCAATTAATTCCAAGGCAATGAACACAAATCGGTGTTATCCACCCTTTATACTCCTCAACTATTACCCCACTGTTTTCATCTTTCTTTTCACTTCCTTGCTCGCAGTCAGGACGCTTGGTTCCCGATATTCTCCTTTCGATCCTCACGGTTGGAATTCGCTGGAGCTTACACTCCAAGCTCTGGCGCTGATAAAAAGAAGTCAATTTCGCTTTACGCCACTCGTAAAGAGTGCAGCTACAAGCTCGAGGACCTCGTTGGCTGGTAGAATCGTGAAAACGAGTGGATCATCGTCGCCTAGTAATCTGCGTGCGCGATTGTCGCATTGGAGCTCGCGATGCCTTTACATTTCACGATACTCGACAGGGTAGATTTTATTACAGCCGGGAGACGGTCTTCTGCTGTGCACTTTTTCACCGGACTTCCATTCCCAACCGTCGCATATCTGTCTTCTGAATACTTAATTAACGTTTGCCTCGCGACTTCTTCCTCTCCGTTCTCGAACAAACGCGTCACGCGACAATCCTGGCAAATTGCAGTCGTGCGTCATTGCCCCTTCGCCAGCTTCTTTCGCTCGACGAACTTTCCAAGCGAAATGCAACGTAACTGCAAGAAATGTTGATGCATCGTCCCTGGGGAATAATGTAGGAGTGGTGTTATTGGAAATTTATTTTCTGAAGGGTGGTAGTGCCTTGTTTAACCTTTTCTTTTCTAAATTGTTTAGATGTAGCGGAGGAAATATATTTGTTTGTATTAAACGACATGTGTAATATTACGTAATTGATGTATGAAAATGACTTGGCAGTTTAGATGGAATGTTTGAGGATTCATCTCTTTAGTTTTGTGCACACGGTAGCTGGATGTAGGTAGACGAAACGGTGTAGAGTGATTCTTCCTGCAAAAATTAACTCTAAATTTTTGATTAATGTTTTCGTAAACGAGCTCTTGTTTTGGAGAGAAATCAATTTTGAATATTTCGTCAGATCGCTTGCGATTGTCACGACTGGTCTGATGCGTCTGACCATTGCTCGCCTTTTCTACTTGCCCGATAGGGTATTCTTGGTATAACAAATAAGTAATGAAAGGGTGGATGAAGAGGTGTAGGGTGATTTTTCCTGATAAAAAAATGGACTGAAAAGGTAGAATAATATATTTGTATATGAGCTTTTGTTTTGGAAGAAATCAATTCTGAATATTTCTCGAGTACGCCTGCAATTGAGTGCGACTGGTCTGACCATTTCTCGCGTTTTCTACTTGCGCTGAATGATATACTTGTCACAACTAATACGTAGACTGCATATTTTATGCATTAATGATATAAACTAATGCGCACTCATGCAAAATGAAATAACAATATCATTACAATATTAGTAGAGATAGGTAATATAGACAATTGCGACCTACCCACCCTTAACAAATAAATAAACATGAACATGAATAATTGTAGAATATATTCAACATACATTATGTATATTTTATGCATGTATTCTATATTATTGTACATCATAAATGCATAAAATCCGCAGTCTACTTGTAACGAACGATTACTTGTCAACCTTAAACAGGCCTTAAACATTTTATATTCTTAACCTTTCGATTCATACGCTTTTAGCCACCTCCTCTTACGTAATTTGTTAAATACAAATATTACATTATAAATATTTAAAAGCAATGTACGATACAATTCATTCCAAAAAAAAAAAATGAATGCAAGGTCTGGTTTTTCAGTCATCACATCGAACAACGTTTGAAACTAATCCTTGAAACTAATTGCCAAAGAAAACTATTTTAGTACAATTATCCGAGTCTTTAGTCCCCCTCGACAAACGTATCAGCTAAAGTAATTCTCATCAGTCGCTGGGAAGATTTACGATCCCAGAGAGGCCACTTACCAAGGAGATTCCACCCGGCGATCATGGCGAAAGAACAAGGGCTTGTTCCGATCCCACCGCGGGCAAGTTCGAAAAAAATCTTTTCACGATCGTTGAATCATAATTGCGCATTTGCATCGCAGCCAGTGGCTCACTTGGACGAGGAAAAACGAGGACGTTGGAAGAGATTGAAAAGTCCAAACGCGGGGGGTAGGGGTTGATGCTCCGCGTCTTGTTTCTGAAATTTATGCGTCCCACGATCCTTCAGGAATCGACCCCTTCGTCCCAGACCCCCTCAGCCACGACGTTCCTCACGTTTGCAAAATATTTTCGCGAGAACGAAGAAAAACGCGGATCAAGGATGACCGAGTTTCCTCGCGGACTTTTCCGCGCGTTTAACGGCTTCCACGGCCGAAGGAGTCGCGGTGATAACGACTTTTTAAGCGAGAAAATTTTTAACGCACCTCCGGGATCCCCTGATCTCATGAGAGGGCTTTATGCTAGCGCATGGCGGATGAATCGCTATCCGCGGATATCGCTGTTTCCGAAGTAACTGCGGAGCTTGGTTTGGAGACATTGTAACGGGATGCAAACTGATTAGTACGAATACTTTGACTGCAATTTTAATAGAGGTTCTTTTAAGTTGAAAGCATTATACTGGTAGGGTGGAAATGTTAACAAATACAAATGGAAAATTAATGGGTGGGTTGGACGAGAAGAAACGTAAAGAGAGTTCATCAATTTTCAGAACAAATTAGTGGTCCACTGCGTATAGATTTTTTGATAGTTCGTTTTTTGACCACAGTTTGTGCACATGTTGATGAAATTAAATAGATGAAATTATACTTTTAGAGCTACAAATGTAGACAAATAGAAATGAAAAATGAATAGTTGACCAATGGAAAAAGAGATGTAAAGAAAGTTCGTCAGTTTTTAAAAGTGAATCGCTGAACCATTGTTTACAGTTTCTTTAACAGTTCATCATTTTCTACGATATGAAAATGTCGATATTTCATTGACGATACTTTTTTCGGTGCTGGAGTTGTGGTTAAAATTTTATTGCTTTATTTGTGGGTCGAGATTGCCCTTATCGCCAGAGTGCCCAATGTGCCACTGACACTCTTCGTGTTCTTTCAGGTCGATATGAAAGGGATTTCCGGACCCATAGAGTTCAAAGAAGGCCGCAGAATTCAATTCAAGCTGGACCTACTGAAGCTAAAGCAACACTCGCTCGTCAAGGTTCGTTTATAATATATTTTGCGTCTCCAAAATTATTTCAAATTCTTAATTTTATTTCTTTTTAACGTACACCTTTCTGAATGTATTTAAAAAAATACATTATTTTTATAATACTTTTAATTTGTCTCTGATATCTTAATAAGAAAGAAAATATTTCTTGAATAATAAAAGCCATAGAGCAGGATAATTTTGTCCTCGAATACAAAATTTTCCTTTCTTAGTTATATACAGCATTTGCATCTTCTTTCTACTATATCACTGTTAATTATGTGCCATAGATGTAGACTAAATAAAGTAAATAAGCATAAAATAAGAAGAAATGATCGTTTTGAGCAGGTAGGCGAGTGGCGTCCAGGCATGGGCGTCAACGTGACAGACACTGCAACGTTCTTCGAACCAGGAACCGCGAATGTCACTCTGCTCGTCATCACGATATTGGTGAGTCTCTTCTCAAGCATGATAGAATTACAAAAACAGTGTTTATTCGTTAAGAGCTCGCCAGTTCTTAACGTAGGATAAGCGTGTCTCCAAACAGTCGTTCAAGAAGTCACAGGGTACTTCAAACGTTTACAGTATTTATTCGTTGAAAGCTCACGAGCTTTTAACATAGAAGAGACATATCTGCAAAAGATTGATTTCGAGAACGATAATTCAAGAAGATATTGGATATTTAAAAGAATTACAGTATTTCTTCATCAAGATCTCGAGAATAAATATTATAAACGTTCAAAACACTCGGTAGCTGCTTGGAAACGTCCCTCTACGTTAAAAGCTCGCGAACTCTTAACGAATAGATCCTGTATCTCGTCGTGAATCGAGTTTTTCTATTAACGCACGACATCAGTGTCTCAACGAATCCCTGATCCTCGCGTTTCACTCTGTAATTCTCTTCCAATCGAACGTTCGAGCCCGATCTAGCTCTACCAGAGTCGATTTTAACGACGTGACGTGCGCGTGGGCGAAGCAACGGCGGGGAAAAATTTAACGAAACCTCGACACTGACGATTCGATTCGATCTTGCGACCAAAATTGCGAGAGCAGCCACGATGACTGCGAAGCGCATCAAAGGCTCGAATCGAGTAGTTTCAGGCACAGAAGCGGTAGCGTCTCCCTCTTAAACAAGACAAGAACTCAACCTGATCCGAGGGCAGAGGGTAGATCTGTCATCTTTGACTATCATGAAAAAACAAGGGAGATATACAGGGTGTTAACAGATATATCTGGGACCTTTTTTTAGGATCGAATCTTCATGTCAATATGAATCGATCAGTCCTTTGCCATTTTGCGATCTGAGGCTTCGTCGTCGAGATTTAAGTAGATCAAATTTACAAGTGTGACTTCTGGTGCGCTCTGTTAAAGTCCCAATCACTCATGAAAAATACACGCCAGTACACACTCACTTGAAAATGACCTGAGAGTCTATAATACAATTTAGACCAGGTAATACAAGGTCATTGACCTAATTTGTCCCAGCTAGATGCAAATGATCAGGACTCAAACAGCACGCGCCAAAAGTCACACCTGTGAATTTCATCTGCTCATATCTCGATGCCTCAGATCGCAATGTGCTAACGGACTTTTCGATTTGTATTTGCATGAAGACTTGATTCTGAAAAAGGGTCCCACGTATCTATTAACACCCTCTACCAAATGGTCGAATTTTGCGGGGCGCATACTTCGCGGACGTAACAAAATTGAAAATTTCCGAGATATGGATGAGCCTGAATGTAAGACTGGGAAACTCTGGTCCATACATTGGACCATCCATCGCCATACGTTCCTCCCATTTCGGGAAAGTTCCACGCGCATAACGAGGAACCAAAGACGAACGAGACGAGTATAGAACGACCACACGAGTCGTGATGAACTGACGGCGTGCTCTTTGCATGGGAACCGTGTTTACGCACAGGAAATACCGTACGTGATGATGCACTACGAAAAAAACTACACGGGGAACGCGAGATTTTACGGTTTTTGCGTGGACCTCCTGGAGGCGGTGGCGAGGGAGGTGGGCTTCACTTACCGATTGGAGCTGGTACCGGACAGGAAGTACGGCGCGAAAGACCCGGAAACCGGGGAATGGAACGGCATCGTCAGAGAACTCATGCGACATGTATGATTTGGTTTGTTTAATTTTTCTCATCTTATTTGGTTCACCCTTGCCGATCTAACAAACACACACAACGACACACATGGTCTCCGTAGGTAACTATAGAATATATTTTTTACCAGTCCTTTGCTGAGTTCATTAGACTGTTTTTCGTTAGATTACTTTACTGGTTCTTTTCGTTCTATACAAACGGGCATGTATACAGGGCGTCAGATTTAAAGTGACCATCATAAACTTCTCCGTTGTGAGATGAACGATAGAACAAAATTTTTCTTGTAACAATTTTCCAGTTTCGAAGTGGGCAATATTATCTGTGCGAAAAGTGTCTCGAGGTCATGTATCAAAGTCAAGGTCTCATTTGTGACGTCAGGATCATGAATGTTTTTTTTAAATGTAGTATTTTCTGTATTGTAATATTGTAGCTGATAGAAAGAGAAATTCAAGTATGTATAATCCGTTGCTATTAATCATACGAAGATACGTCTCAAGAGGAAAAGGTTTGATTTAAATGTGGTCATGCTATAATAAAGAAGAAAATTATGTCAATGTCATAGTTTCCAAAATTCATTGGCGTATTTTTAAATAGGATGGGGTATTTTCAATATTGTACTATTATAGCTGATAACATAAATTCAAACATGTATAATATGTTGACCTTTAGATGGCCTAGTGAAGAATTATTCTTTAGCTCCTTCGAAACTAAGAAAGTTTTTGTAAGAACAATTTTTTCGCATCGTTCAAGGCAGCGAAAATATTTTGGCAGTGATCACATTATGTTAGACACCCTATATACATATAACACCTGTGTGCTCGTTAGCGAATCATTTGATACTTATATCCACAGTGAACACGAACGCACCTTAGTACGTTTACCTAGTGGACTTGAACACTGTGCAATTTTAACGTTCTGATGTACTCTGCACTCTTAGTACCCGATTCGATTGTAATTGTAATGAGAGACGGGTGGAGGAAGTAGCTCAGGTAGTTGAGAGTGTCTGGAAACCTCTGCACGGAAGATTTTCACTTTAACCCTCGATTGAATCCACGGATTAAGTATTCCGATTCGATTCCAACCAGGAGTGTAACTCATGTGTACTTTTTACGTGATAAGGATTATCGTTCGATTGGCAATCTACTATTTCGGTGGGATTTAGAATAAAGATAGAGCATTGGAAAGTGTTAGACTTTTATTTTCTTCATTGGTTGATATTTATGTTGAAGGGATGAATCGAGTGGCCAAAATGTTTTGCTCCAATTGGCTATTTTTTTAGAAATGATTTAAATTTGTTACTGAAATTAACGCGTAACCTACGCAATAATTTGCGTTTATTCTTGGAGAGGCTCACTGTAATTTGTTATTTCTACGTCGACGTTATGCTACATATACAGTGGGCCCTCGACTTTCGCACACAATTGGTTCCTGAAAATGTGTGCGAACGTTGAATGTTTGAAAGTAGAGGGATGTAGAAAAATATGCACCAGAAACTGTGTTTTAAAGTATTTATTTATCAATATGTATACATAATGAAGTTAAAGAGGCGTGTTTAAATGCTTTCGAGTGCTTTCTTTATAAACCTCTCAAAAGTTAGTTGAATACCACTCATTTCTTTTTCTTTTCTTGATAAAGATTTCTATGACGTGCTGTGTCTTTCTGAATGCCCTAATATTTCTCAAATCAGTATCTATCTATCAAAATTCATCAAACTAAAGAACCGTCGATCTATACTTGCCACAAACAAAAATTGTCTCGTTTCCCACGTTCCTCAAACTCCAGCAACTCGAAACAACATACCTAAACCACGGAGTTCCGTTAATATCTAAAATTCTAATCGAACGCAAGCCTCTGCGGGAGAACGGTTGACTCTGACGTCGTTCCGCCAATTGAGGGTTAAAGTTACATTGCGACACGTACGCTCGAACTAAATAATTTTCCCCAACCACAATTCAAAGTGCAATCTCACTCGATCCCGACCGAACTTACCTCTCACCCAGCGAGACACCGCTAACCGCCAGTTTGAAACGTGTACCAACCAGTAACGTAGACATTGACCGCGCCTACGTTCACAAGACACCTTCACACCGTTTCGGGGGAGAGATTCAACGCGTTCGAAACACCAACAGAAGCGTCTGCATTTTTAACAGACGTCCCCAGTTGACGGAAATTCGGACCAGTTCGCATAAACCATAGAGATATTATAAACAGAGTAGAGGAGCCAGGACTCTGATCATACTACAGCTTGGCATTTAAAAATATCTTAAATTAACAAAGTTGTGTCGTTGTTCACATAAGCATTCCGTGGTGACCATTGTACCTCAAAGTTGGGTATCCGAAATTAAAAAATGAAGCATTTTTTAATAATATAGTAAATTGTCTAAGTGCTATTGAGAAGTTCTACTTTGTTTAACCAGTCAGCCATCAAACTGAGAAAGGTATAGTCGTGAAACACAGATTAATATTGGATCGCAAAGACGGCTATGTATTAAGTCATTCCAAAAATTCATACCACTTATACTTCTGCTACTCAAAATTAATATGTGAAACATGCTCTTAAATAACCAATAGTAACAAAATTTTACCCCTGACAAGTATACTCGTCATTCACAGTTGACTGATTAAGCAGTTCCAGAGAGTACTTCTTACGTGGAAACAAATTTTCCCTCTTTATAATATTAGTATAGATTTACATTAATAAAAGCAAACAGATAGATAGGATGCCGCGGTTTCTTTTCTCTTTCTAACGCTGGGACGTTTCTGCTTCAGGCCTGTATATATCTTCCCTGCTTTGTTTGTAATATCTCCATGCAGCGACTCGTCGTGATCGATCATCGACTACCGCGGGTTGAAGTCGAAGGTAAATTACGATGGTGCGCGTTAATTGCCAGCGAGCGTAACAAAGCCCATAAATCGAGGACTATAGGGCGCCGATCGGGCAGGCGCCGCGGCGCCGAACGACGAACATCTCCTTTATACCCATCTTCTTTGATTTAAACTGGCAATTTCTGAATAACGGGGTAATATCGTGCTGAAGGACGTTGAGAAAGGATGCTTGGAGGCTTCGAGTGGATATAAGATATAACAAGATTTCTATTGTGAGTATTGTAAGAAATGGGGACCTTGGCAGATTTCTTCTTTTTAAACTTGGAAACTTTATTTTAATTTCTCGTTCCTTAATTTATCTTTAGTTCGCGATATCACCAGAGTATTAATCGTTATTTGAATAATATTTGCAATATTACTTCTGTATACTCCAACCAGCAACATATACTTTGCAATGTTACTTCTACAGTCAATCCCATAAATATTCGTACTCTCTATTGTCCATTGAAGAAGTTTGACTAAATTAAATGATAGTTTTGATAGGACCAAATGAATTTTTTATTATAAATATATATATGAATATTTATACAAACATACACTTGGAAACATTAAACCTATCATTTAATTTAAACAAATTTCTACAATAGACATAGAGGGTACGAATATTTATGGGACTGAGTGTATATACTCAATTACAATTAGCATTTCTTCCTATTCCAACCAGCAACATATACCCTCGAAGCCTCCAAGCATTCTCTTTCAACACCCTTCACGCGTCAAATCGTATTACCCACGTTTATTTCAAATATCTACCCCCAATAATGTCTCGAACCTTAAATTGATACAAGACAATTATTCACACGAAGATTAACCAATCCAAAACGAGTAATCCTACCCACAAGTGAATGAAAACGCTAATATTTCGAAAAAGTCGTCACCATCAATGTTCAATTGACACACGGATTAGAATTCGTCGCCATCAGGGTTGAGATGAGCTCGCGACACTTGTACGGGTGATCGATGGAAAAGCAACGATCGATCGAATTCAGGAGGCGATAGGTATGCATCGGCTAAAGTTGTTTCGGCAGTAACGTCATACGTCGAGGGGGAGGTTTTATTAATCGCCGGCCGTTAATCTTGTTCAGAGTCAATCGACGATTACGTCGACATTCGTGACGCGTTGTTGCCATTGGGGGAGAATTATTAATCGTCCTGCTCGACGTGATCTCTCTCCCTCTCTTTCTCTGTTCCTCTTTCTAGCTGAAGACGGCCAATCGTCGAGCCGTTCGTTCTCATAACTGAACGCGTTTAACGGAACCTGTCGACGGCGACGATCAATTTGCGATTCTCCGGAATCCTGACGGCTTAATGTGCGGGCACGTCTCCAACGTTCTCGACTAGCTTTTGGTCGAGCACTCTGGCCGATAAGTCCCGAGCTTGCACCGTTAAGCGAGGCAAACTGGCGTACAGCCCTTTGGAAACTCCCGGACCCGATAAAACTGTACTCTGTTCGGTTTTGTGTTCCTAAACATTGACCAGATCGTGGTTTCCTTTCTTATACAGGATGGACTATATAAGTGTGGCAAGTGATATTGTTTCGTTTATAAATGCAATGGTCCATGTGCAATCGATAGTTGGGTTACTTTTTTTCATGAAAATGCATATTTTCTTGCGTGAATTGAATCCTTTCTACGTAGCACAGTGATAAAATGGTAAACAAATGATTAGTTTATGAGGTATTTTAAACACTTGTCTGTAACGAAGAAAATGCTTAAAGTCGTACTCTTTGAACCATGCATCTTTTCTCTTAGAAATTTTGTCTAATTGCACTAATGACGGTGTTATGACTTGCCATACTTGGTCCATCCTGTATACTCCAGAGTAATCCTTTATTAGTAAACCTATTAGTGTCAAAGAGGAAATGGTTAGACGTTTTCTTTTAAGGCTTTGTTCCCTTAGAATTTCGCAAAGAATCATTAAAATATGAGTTTTTATAATAAGAAATTGTAAAACGTTTCTCTGTGCATTCACAGGGTAGACTAGTATGTAAAAATTATTTTCATTATTGCACTGACACTTGGACTATAACCTTAAAGTTATTCATCCCGAATAAAATATGTTGATTGAGTTAGACAAAGTAATAATTATGAAACAGTTTGCGAAGAAAGTAAGGCTTTCTCAACACTTCTCATTTTCCTGTATAAGAATAACGATTGATTTTAACTCATCAATTCGCCAATTTAATTTTAATTTAATCATGAAACCGTTTATTATTTATTTTTAATTAGAACATAAAATTTTTTCGAGGTGAAGAGTGCGAGCTCGATACATATATTCACTCTTCTCCAACAGCTTGTTTCGTAATTAATGTTAGTCCCTTTAATAATTTAACAGATATCCTTTCATGCTGTATGTAATTAATAAATTGAAACCATAGGACCGCGCGTTACATGCAATTTTAACTAATTGGTTGCATACAAATTAGTATGCGCGTATCGAGAGCTATGTAATATCGAATTAGCTTGTTAAGGACTAACGAAATACCCATTTTTTCACACAAAACGATCATGTCATTTCTTTACCAGGGATTACTTTAATAGTATTCATAATTCATGGATCGTGCACATTATGCAGAGGGAGGTTAATCCGAGATATTTCTTTCCGTTTAAAATGCCAAATTTAAACCGTGTGTAACTATACCAGGGAGCATTTCATAATTCCAAGAGCTTAAAAATAGTAAGGGTATATCTTTTCATTCGTACAAGTGACTACTGAGGCGAAGACAAAGCGCAGAATTCTGTTTAAAATGGCGATCCTCCAAGTAGAAGTCGAAACATTCTTTCCAAACAAAGGACGGTCCGCGAAACAGAAAGCGCGGAAAATGTTAATGTACAAAGGGGCAAACTGAAATGGTAAGAGGAATGAGACGGGCAAATTTAACACGGAAACCTTGAAGGAATGTAAAAGAACAGAAGGAGGAACAGAGAGTACGAGCATAGGGTGATTCTCTTGTTAATGCATCAAACGTTCCTCGACAAGTTTGTTAATTGTTGGTAGTCTTCCTGGAAAATTAAATCAATCACAGGAAACTTCGCAACATAGTGGCATGAAATGTTTCAAAATGATAGATTTCGTTGATTAATTTTACCAGAGGAAATAAATTTGATTAAAACTCTTGGGTGTATACGTATAAAGCTCTTCAGAGAAGAAAATGATTACCTTAACACTTCAACGTCCGCTCATATATAATATGTGCGATGGTACCGCTTAAAATTATGGGCCAGTACCACAATCTGTATAATGATTTATGAACGTGTTTACATTCAGTGTGGTAATTATTCTTTTATTGTCTGTTTTTAATTTTAAATGTTTTAAATTAATACTATGCCATGTTGGTGAACTACAGTTGTGTACCACGAAAATTATGGAGCAAATCCTGGCGTCGGTTATTTTTATTTTTTTTTTGTTTAATGTGTATGCATATGCGATACGTGATATTTGACTGCGTATACAGGATACTTTTCAAAAATCCGATTTTCAATGAGAACATTAATCACGATAGAAATCTCCGACCTTTGGTCATAGCTAGATCCTTCGATATACAAAGCAAACTTAAGGGAGGAAGCTTACCTAAAACAGTTCAAAAAAGGACCACATTTATGAATTTTTAGGGGACAAACTAAAAATTATTTGGTAATATGTTTAAAGGTATTCGAAAGAACGCTTTTTAGTCCATATGTCGCAATTTTCGTATTTAATAATATCTTAAATTAACAAAGTTGCGGCATTGTCAATTAGACAATTTGATGTATTATTCTTAGCGCTTAGACAGTCTAATATATTATTCAAACTGACGCAACTTTGTTAACTTAAGATATTTTTAAACGCCAAGATTGCGACACACGTACTAAGAGACATTCTTTCTAATACCCTTAAACGTATTACCAGGAGAAATTTTCCCGTTTGCCCAAAAAAATTCTTAGATATGCCCTAAGCGCAGGCACACGTGGCTTCTCACACGAAAAATAAGATAACCAGAAACCTTCGTCCACGCAAATTTTCTTTGCACAAAAATAACGAACTTGCTAAGAAACGTTTAGCGGGACATGTAACATGAGGATCGCTCTGTGGAGTGGGAAAAGAGACATGCAATGAAAGACTAGACAGCGTTGGAAGGGGAAATAGAGCGGGTATTTCGCAGCGGGTACAGGAAATGAAAAGAATAGTCGGAGCTAACGGGGAAGAAGAGGAACAAGAGGAGGGCGAAAGGTAGTAGCTCCTTTTTATGGTCCCCGTAGGAGCAGCCGTACGTAATGCTGAAGAGCAGAGGGAATTTCAGCGGGAACGCACGTTACGAGGGCTTCTGCATCGATCTGCTCAAGAAGATAGCTCACATGGTGGGCTTCGCCTACAGGATCGAGCTCGTGCCCGATGGCAGATACGGCGTTTACGATTACGAGACCGGAGAGTGGAACGGAATAGTCCGCCAGCTGATGGACAAGGTGAGTATGCTCTCGAAAAGCGTCCGTGCTCGCGGAGTCGTCTCTATTTACATGCCGCAAAATCGCGATCCCGACCCTTTCCTCAAACACGCGGATAACGCGCTACGTGTGTAAGTATGCCTCGGGACACTTTCGTTGGTTAAACCAGTGCTTCTCGACAGATGCGACCCACCACACGCGAACAAATTTCTAACGCGTAAACTGCGAGTTTCATTCTACGATTTCGTTGATTCAAATATGATTTTATTCTTCGCATTTTTAACATGTGGAAGTTTTGAAACTTAGGTTGACGTATCAAATTATAGGTACAAAATGTGTTCTGAATCTTTAGTATCGGAATACATTAGTAGAATTTAATTTTATTCATTTTTAAAAGGGTTCACATTTGGGAATTGTTGACTTCACAGGGGATAAATAATTTATTTTTATCGTAAACATGTCTTTAATATCAAAGAGCTTTATATAGGATTTCAAATTAACTGTAACATTCCTTGGTAGTATTATTATATTGCAGTACATATATAATAATTATATTAATACTAGTACCGTGACTGACTGTTACTTAAAGTGATGTTCCATATAAACGTTAATGTGGCACACGATGGATTGAATATACACTTATTAATTTGATAAATATGTTTTAATTGAATACACAGTAAATAAACACTTTCTAAAGGGAACAAATGAAAACTCTAAAGTTGTACCGTGTGTTCGAATTCAACATATTTACAGAAAGTAAACGTAAATTTTTAGAGAGCAATAATGTGGCACCTGATGGATTGAATATACACTTATTAATTTGATAAATATGTTTCAATTGAATACACGGTGAAAACACGATTGCGATGCACTGGTTTAAACAACAACTTCAAACAGCCTCGAGAATCGATGAAGAGGACCCGAGGAATTTTGGGTTACAGAGTTTCGCGGAATACGGTTAGAATGCCGAAACGTACATTATAACGCGAGAACGATAGTTCCTCCAACGAGGTACTGTTGAAATCCTTATGGTGGCTTTGTAGGTGCAGCTGTTTCGTTGTTCGATGGCGATGAATACAACAGGACGTGATCACTTTTAGACGTTGAGTTGGTTTCCCTCGAGATGACGACGAATTTCGTTCGGGAAGTGAATTGATTCTGTTGGCAGGATAACAAATGGTTAAATTGTCTTTCGTGAATGTAGGGTAAAACCTCACGTAAGGTTTAGGTTTCGGTGTAATTATACTTCTGCTTCAGATGCACTTCGAAGTCGTGATATGAATATGGTTGGGCGTTTCTTGGTGGATTAAAGTACATTCTAAAAGGACTATTTTAGTTTTATTGTATATATTCTTTAACATCTTAGGAAACATTCCTATGGGGTGGGAAATCGCTGGACGAATCTCTTTGTAGATTAGGTTTTTATTACTGTACATATTTTAATTATCTATACATACATATATATATAAGAATGAAACCCTGACTGATTGACTGGCATATCAATGCCCGGGCTAAATCCTTGAACCTAAACAGCTGAAATTTTGCACAGGGGTTTCCTTTATGATGTATACAAGGAATAAGAAAGGATATTTCGAAATTCAACCCCCAAGGGGTTAGTATCGTAGTGGTGAAATTAGTAGTAGTGTTAACAAAACTTAAAATTCTACATACCAAAATTAAAAAGAGTACACACAATATAAAATATATTATATTAATGTATTCTTTAATAGGCCACATTCCAGATAAACAACAATTTTAAATAATCAAAAATCTGTTCCATCGGTAGAATGACTCCTATGTAAAGAAAATAATGTTTTAGACTTAATCGAACTTGTAAGGTTATTATACTATCGAACAATAGGGTGCACGAATTATTTACAGCCGGTTGAACTGTCGTGGCTTCGAAATTCGCATTTCCAAGCGCAAGTTTCTCGCGGCGATAACGAAGACACGGGCGTTACGGGAGATTCTAGGCGGCTTTGCAATGCAAATCAGGACTTCGATGCGCAGCCGGCGAACACGTGGAAATGCGCGGTGCGTTGTCCCCCTAACTGGTAGGCGCGAAACCAGCCGTGATTCGCGTAGCTTTAGCTGTCAACCACGTCCCACGTACCAGCTAATACGCGCATGGACGATTGATTAAGTGCAGGCTTACGTCGCGTATCCTGCCCGTCGAGAGCGAAACACTCTAATGGAGTTAGTAAATTAACTTTATTAGCGTCCAATCGATGCTAAGATAACTCTCACCCGAGAATGAGAAATGACGGCAAAAATGGTAATGGTCCAAAAATGTATCACTCTGATAAGTAGTATCGAGACGTCCGAAGGAGAGATTTTTTTACTGGTATTAAAATTTATTTTAACGTTGCGAGATTTTTAGCGTATAAAGTCGAGAGCTTTACAAAGTAGAGTATAATTTTTGTTCGACCCTCCTCGTTATGCATTATGAATGAAAACAGTTTGCTTGTTATAATTGTTATAATTTAACGAAGCTGAGATTTGGTATTTAATTAAAAACTATTATTAATTTCATCGAAGACTCATTGTACTCGCGAATACATTATGTAGTGAATGGTCAACAATTTTCGGAAGAACAATAACTTTGTACTTAATGGGTTAACCGAGTACACAAAGCGTTTCTGGAAAATATGCCAGTGATATTAAATCACGCGTACCACTCGTACGGATAAATTCATCATCCGCTAGCAACGAAACTCCGACGCTCAACTCCGAATGGGTGTGTCTACATTCTGGGGCTACTTTAACCATAAATCTTGGACGTCGGAATCCGGATTAGTATTCTGCCTGGACGAAAGTAGAACTTTGTGACTTTTCCAAGGGAATGCATTATGTATAACGGTCTGTATTTACTAAAGTCTATCTACGGAAATAATTAATATCGAATTTTCGAAGCATTAATATGTCAAAAATTTCTCCACATAATTTTATCCGCATAAAAGTGAAGTTTCGAGTCATCATTTTACTAGCATTTCGCCAATTCTAAATTCCTTTGGCGAAACCTTACAATTTTTAACAGAAATGAAATAAAATTTGCTTCGTTAATTTTTGTTCAAGATGAAAAGTTTCTTCAACTTTTTTAGAATATTTATATTTACTCTTTCTATCCATGGAAATAATTAACACCGCGATCATTACAATTTTACTAGCATTTTACCAGTTCTAAATTCGCTCGATGAATCGATGTGAACCTCATAATTTTTCAGAAGAAACGCACAATCAAAATCGCTAGATCAATTAATTTATTTCCAAGTTGAAAAGTTTCTTGAACCCTTTCAGAATATTTTCTCCCGAGTCCATAAAGATTCGTCTAGAAACTCCCGCAGGAATTTTGCAATTGCCTCATTCCAATAAAAAGTTCTGTATTTTATTACCAAGAAGGTCAACGTGACGCATCCTAGACAGTATTCACTCGTATTTTTCCCTCGAGACGCGTTGGAGTGTCGAAACGAAGAATAATTCAACGCGCTGGTATTCTAGACTTTTTCCCATCCCTTGGACGACAGCTGTTACGAAGCGTTGGGCGGTGGTATCGTCGCGGCCACGTTATTAATTTCGTTGAGACGATCATTAATAATTCTCACACCGTAGTGGTCTTGCGAGCAGCAGAACGCAACTTAACCACCACAATTCTCCGTAATAAAGAAGGAGGAGAACTCCAGTCACGAATGGCTGACGCTACTTCGCCATTCCCTTTCGTTCGCTAATGGAAATAGATAGGCGTATAATTTACACGAGCATCATGATTAATGGAAAGCCTCGAGAAATATGCGTAAATTAATTATCACCCGGTATCGCAATTATGCAGTCTTATCGGTAAAAAAGTTTGGGGATTAATTAAAGAATCAATGACTCGAAATTTGTTCGAAGTTCTTTTATTGTCAACATTTCAGTGCATTTACAAAAATAGCTAGAAATGAAAGGGTGCAGGCACACCCACGCCCTCTATATACTTCTTTTATATTTCTCAAGGAGCTGAAATTGATCAAATAGACAGATGAAACTCGATATTTACTTATCTCCATGTCTTAGACTATTATCTTAAAAGTACAAGTGTTAGTTTTCCCACAATCCAAGCAGAATATTTTCTTAACACGTGTAAGGATATTTATTTAGAAGTTCGGCGAAAACTGTCAAAATTACAAGACAACACAATATACAAGACAAAATCAAATCGCAATACAAATTGAATGACTAATCAATAAATTACTAACACAAATTGATAAACATAACTGACAACTATAAAACATACAAACATACCTAGTGGTTTAAATATAAACATTCATCCAACATTCACATTACAATACATTACACACGTTTCACTAAGTAATTAAAAACTTAATTTTGATAAAAGACAATTATGGATAAGATTCGTGAATTTTGATCTGACTGTAAACCTAAATACTAACGCAAATGTTAGATTATATACCTTCTACTCGTATAAGAGCAAAATTTTAGCATCTAAAGTAATTTTATGAGTATATCTGGCATAGTGTTAAGGAGGATAGGAAGACAAACTGCGTTGAGATTAGGCGAGAGTGAGGATCTAAGCGCCACAGCACTGGGCGTGTTTAACCCTTTGCACTCGAGAGCTTTCTTTCTGGTATCTACCAGCAACTCGAAATGCTTTCTTACCATTCTATTGCCACGAATGCTAAGATTATATTGACTTCGAAAATCTCTAATTTGAGATTCGCGAATCAAGTCACCTTTCGCCTCAACGACAATCATTTTATTAACACTTTGAGTCCCAAAGAAATTATACCTAAAGGAAACCTAGTGGTGACTTAAAGTCACCTCTCGAGTGCAAAGGGTTAATGCAACGTCACATCATCAATTGGCTCGTTTCTTCTCCCTCTCTTCACTCATAATCTAAAACAAGTCTTCAGAATCGCGAAAATTCCCGACATCACGTTCTAGATCCAATGAAATCTATTGTTCGCGTCTCTAGCGAGCTGCGTGTACGCCCAGGGACCTCACTCTCGCTTAGTCGTGCTGTACATACATAATACAAGCACGAGGACTATCGACAACTCCGCGTTGTCGTGCTGTCATCGACTGAAAGTACGAGCAACAAATTACTCGATTATCAGCCAGAATCGAGCCGCAAGGCAGTTGTAAATCAAGAGGAAATTAACGTGGCGCGAATTCGCGCGTCGCCTGGGACGTTGCGCCGAGATGAATGAAGTGTTATGGCATTTATTGATGGTGGCGGAGTGACGAGGCTGTGGGTTGACGGCCTGGTGTAACGAAGCGTAAATTTTGATTAGACATTGCGGCAACGCTCTGGAAGTAAGTATCCTAACCGTTGTCTTTTGAAGCTATTCCAACTTGTATTAAGTTTGAATTGACAATTAAATTCTGTCTGCGAAGGAAAGGAGAATTCCCTACTATAATTTGATTTTGGGGGGTTTGAAGTAATCGTAACGGTTTGTCATGCGAAAACATTAACTTAGGAATTAAATGTACAATGTATAGGGTGTCTCCTCGCATAACACTTTTCACGATTTTTTAAGTTCTTGCGATAATCTGACATAAGAATATTTTAAATAAATGTTGATCAGTTTTCGATTGGCTATAGATTGCATTAAACAAAAGTGCGAAAAATTTTGTATTTTAGCATTGTCAAGGTCACCTTCATTTTTTTAAATAGCACTTTGTACTTTTGACTCGACGGTATTATAGTCCGTGTCAAGACGAATTGACTTGGGATGCCCTTAAAGGGAAAGAAATGAAAATTCCAACAAAAAATGACTGACAATCTGCTTGAATGGGTGATAATAACGTGTGTTTATTATTAAGACCAGAAGTTACATTCAATTTAGGAACCTTGACTAAATATTGTATTATCAGAAACTTATCTGCGAATTGTCGACAATTCACAACGAAGAAAATAATGTCAACATACATATGATGACTTAGCTATTAAGGTAGTTGGTGATTAGAACTTAAGACAGTTCTTCTGTTTGTTGTTGACTTGTCACGAGAGCAAATTGTAGTATTACCTTGTAGAAAATGTATTCCAACAGTGAATAGGTTGATATTATTGGTAATACTTGTCGGATGTAAAAGAAATGCACGTAAAGCAGCAAATCTATATGATGCTGAGTACCCTGAGAGGCATCATCCATCTGCACGAACATTCTACAATATTGAAAGAATTTCAGTTCGAACATTTGACCTGACAATTTCACGAAGTCGTTTGCATTCGTTTACTCAAGGTTCCTGTATATATAAATATATACAGGGTGTCCCAAAAATGTTGTAACACCTTGAAAGAGGTGGTTGGGGAGGTGATTTGAAACAACTTTTTCCTTAGCGAAAATGTTGTCCGAGGCTTCGTTGAGGAGATATTAACGGAAAACACTGACCAATCAGAGCGCGCGGATACCGTTGGAGCGGCCGCGGTAGTGAAGGCTACGAGCTAGGCGGCTGCGTCCAATGTTCTTCGATGCACGTCGAGTTACTTGTTCGCGTACAAGCGCGGCTGCTTAGCACATAGCCTTCGTTACCGCGGCTGCTCCAACGGTATCCGGACGCTCTGATTGGTCAGTGTTTTCCGTTAATATCTCCTCAACGAAGCCTCGGACAACATTTTCGCTAAGGAAAAAGTTGTTTCAAATCACCTCCCGAACCACCCATTTCAAGGTGTTACAACATTTTTGGGACACCCTGTATATTAGCTTGTCCCGAAAGTTTCTTTCGCGAGTTGCACTCGATTATTTTATGTGGTCGTGTTTCTATAAATAGACAATCTAATTTCATAGATATTCATGTTGTTACAATAATAAAGCAAAATGAATCGTGCACAATTCAGTAATGGAACATAAAACATAAACTATTGTGCATGTATTACTTATTAATAAAGCGAAAGAAACTTTTGGGACAACCTAATACATTGTGGATATATTGTTGATTAAATATGGAGAAGCATCTTCTTATTATATAAAGTAAGGATCGACGAAATAAATGTATTCTTTGCTGCATAATTTCTCTAATAGAATATACAAAAATAATTTTACTTTTATTGTTAATTTGAGAACAAAGCCACGATTCATTTACGTCGATACGTTATGTATTGATTGGACAACAGAGAGGACAGAGAAAACTTCAAAACGGACACGAAACGAAAGACTGAATGAATTCTTTTACTCGTCCTTATCGGTCATGGCTACACGCACGGTTTCCAAGCAACCCCCAGTCAGAAATAAATCTGCCTAGGTGCAGCACCTTGCCGCGGCATAGCAAATGCTTTTCTAGACACTGAAAAAGCAGTTGGATACCGTGTCCGTGGTTAACGTGCACGCCTGGAGGCCTGCTACGTTTCGTTCTCCCCGGTGAAAAACATTTCAGAGCAAAGCTTTAACGTCCACTTCGTCCTCGAGTATCTCGACCAAACGAAACCAGGATCGAGCAAGATTTCCTCAACGACAACTACTTATAATTCATCAAAAGGTCAACTCCGTTTCAAAAGAATTTTAAACAGCGACCAACGGTTACCAGGTGGCTGAAGGCTTTACATCTATTTATTATTTTAACATTATGTCTGCCAAACTGATCATTTCTTTTCAATAATTAACGATGTTTTCACAGCATCTTTTGATGTCAGTTCCTTTGCCATTGATTGATGATCTTTCTCTGCCATTAATTAGCAGCCTGTAATCATAGCGTTTAATTAAGTAACATTTGTATTCATTTTATTTTCGTTAATAACTTTTGAACTAAAATTATGTATTAGTTTCTAACAATCGTTCGTATCGACATAAATATACGCAGAATGAATTTAGTCAAATATTCTTGAATTGAAAGCATATTAATCCAAGTGATTTACATATCTGATGAATTCCACATTTATATTTAAAAAATATATTTTTCTCGTTCAATTTTTAAATATGAATTTACATATACTCATGTTGATAAAATTCTAACACAGCATTATTAATGAATTATCTACCTTGACATAAATGTCACGTTAATAATCTTCATTTCTTTTTTTAATTTATTGGGAGATTTAAATTTAAGATTGTTGGGTGGGTTTTCGAGAAGCTGAAGGAAACCTCAACGAGGATAGCCTTGGATAACTAATTCTAATTCGAGAGATCGATCGTTATTCTATTCTCCAGATGATTCTAGCTCTAGAAATATGATTTAGATACAATAATACTAGTTTCTCATTGCGTAGGAATGAGAGAGGTCTCAATGAAAGAAGCCTTGGATAACGTGTTAACTTAGAAACTGATCGAGTGATAGATTGCGATCCTTTTAGATATTGATCCGTCGTTATTCTGTCTGTGAGGTCTACCTTAACATAGATGTAAGAGTATAAATGCATTTAAAATAGCGTTAGATTTAGCATTGCTTATGCAAATTCTTAAGTCCTGCGCCTTCGGTGTATCATTCTCATAGTAATCAGTATATTAGCTCGAATAGAATAAATATACTATCATTGTTCTCGATATTCAGGCTGAGTACAAGCATGCGAAGGAATGTGAAGAAAGAAACAGGTAGGAAAACGCTATTTCGTGCAATTCGCCATAACTCTCGTCACACGTTTACGAATTACGGTCAGAAACCTTGATCTACGCACTCGTCGAGCATACCTTGGCTAAATAGAATCACTTACTGTTGGGAGCTGCTGAGAACTGTACTGGAAGGCCATTGGTACATTTTTGCGAATCCTTTTGGTCGATACATTGGGTGAATTGAAACGCTTATTACCAAATTATTCAAAACAAAAATGGAAATTCTGTGTTGCACTCCCACATTTTTGTTTAAAAATGGAGAGTGTGTGCTACGTATCTATATTTAATGAAATGGAGAGGCTACATGTTCCTGGATACTACATATTTTTACAATATTGAAAGCAAAGTTGGATAAAATTCTTACTTAAATACAAATATTGAATAAGAAGTACACAAGCATTTGATCCGTTATTTATTTAACAGAACCTGACGTCTAAATAATAAAATGTCATCCATTCATTCGACTAAACTGTTGCCCCGTTCGATGCTCAAGACAAAGTTGCGCAAACGTTCTCCTTATCTCGCGGCGCCTCTTAGGACAGTTGTCTTCAGCTCCGAAGAGTACTCTCGACGCACCACAGCGCCTGTTACCACGTAGATCCACGTATCTGCCCGTGAAAGCGTCCACAGACACCCGCACACTGCAAATGCACCACACTGCATCGAACTCAGCCTCTACAGCTGCGAACATTTCAACGTTCCCGTCGACTAATCGAACCAATCCGTCTCTATTCGCAGAAAGCGGACCTGGCGGTCGGGTCGATGACCATCAATTACGCCCGCGAGAGCGTGATCGACTTCACGAAGCCGTTCATGAACCTGGGCATCTCGATCCTCTTCAAGGTAAGAAACGAAATATGACACAAAACTAAAGATAAGTTTTTCAACCTAAAAGTTTCACTCTACTCGGGAAATTTCGTGTCAATCATTTTACATCTGAAGGCCTGCCCAAGCGAGATTGAGATCTATGAGCTTTCGTTAGTTGAAACATTTAGACAAGATGTGCCTATCCTTGTGTCAAGAACTTTTATTTCATTATAATATGCTGTAGTCTATGTCAAATTAGGGGAGTTTAAATCATGAATCGAAGTTTACAATTCGAATTCTAACCTGCCACCAGAAGGGGCTTCATAAACAGATTTTTAACTCCGTTTTTATTAAGGTGGTTTGATATAAAATGATAACAGTTCATGATACGCGAAAAAGTGGCACGAAGTAAATCTGATACGCATCTAATTATACACATCTATAATAACCGACAAGCAAGCCAGTATCATTTGCTGCATACGAGGGGAAACAGCGCCAACGATGTAGCAACCGGACTTACAAACTCGCTAACTCGGTTGATATCTGACAGGGGCACACTCGCGTTTAACTTGATACCAACTAACATTTCGTTCACTTATCGTTCAGGCTGCGTAGTCACCGGTGACTGACGATAACTTTTCTCTCACATTTGGATACCTCTTAACAGTTCTACATCTTTTAACATCTCCTAACACTTCCTGGCACCTCGTAACATCTTCAAACATCTCCTAACAACTCCTGACATATCCCAGAACTTCCTAACACACTGTAACACCTCGTAAAACCTATTGACGACGAATGTAAGAGCTGCCACCACCTCGATCATGTTCTCCTAATACAAATAGGTAAGTTTCAAGTCAGAATTAAAAGTTATGCTACCTCTTTGTATATCATGTTCTCCTGATACCAAGAGTCAAAATCCGGCCAGTTTTTGATACGTACCGAATTTCCTTCGTCCCATCTCTTCCCTCCATTTCCTGGTATATTTCCCTTTAATTTCCCTCCATTACCTTACACATTTCCCTTTAATATTTCTCCATATC